ACAAGAATTAAATTGATTTGGTAAAATTAAATATATAAAGAAATTAAATAATAAGAAACTATAATTATAAAATAAAATATTAAAATATTAAATATTAAAAATAAAAAATAAAAATTGTATAGATTTTGTATCAATGAAATTTTTAAAAAATATAAAATTAGAAATTCATAATTAAAAGAAAAAAAAAACATAAAAAGAGCGCGGGTAAAATACCTAGTACTATATAAAAGTTGAGGCTATAAACCATTAAGGACGTCCACATAAGATTAGAAAACACGATTTAATTGGTCCACATAAGCATCTTCAAGATTAAGAAAGTTTCAAAATTTTAAATTACCAATAGTATCATTCCACATAATCATATAAAAATAAGAAATTTTCCATTTTTTAAACAACCAATAATATTAATCTATATCATTATATAAAACTAGCTATATTTGTTAAATTAGTTAATTTCTTTCTTATGTTTCAAGAATTTCTCTTAGTATAATCTGTTTAAATTAGAAACTCCCAAGTCTAAAGTGATTAAGTTAATATTTTTTAATAAATATGTTTTTAATATAAAATTTGAGGCTAAATGCATTTAAGAGTATCCACATAAGATTATAAAACCGCATCTTATTGGTCCACATAAACAATTACATAGTTTATTTATTTTCCCAATTTGGAACAACCAATAGTATTAATCTATATCATCATCTTATTTTTTTCAAATTTTAAACAGCCAATAATATGATTCTATATCGTCATCTTAGTTAACTTCTTTTATGTTTCAAGAAAATTAATTAATTGATTGGTTTAAATGAGAAACTCCACACATCCAACGTAAATGAATTAAGATCTTTTAAATATAATTTACTAAAATTTTAAAAATTATATAGAAAACATTTGTATAACTAAAATATTAGTTATAAAGAATTAAATAAACCTTAAAAAATATAAAATTAGAAATTCATAATTAAAAGAAAAAAAAAACATAAAAAGAGCGCGGGTAAAATACCTATACTATATAAAAGTTGAGGCTATAAGCCATTAAGGACGTCCACATAGATTAGAAAACACGATTTATTGGTCCACATAAGCATCTTCAAGATTAAGAAAGTTTCCAAATTTTAAACTACCAATAGTATCATTCCACATAATCATATAAAATTAAGAAATTTTCCAAATTTTAAACAACCAATAGTATTAATCTATATCATCATATAAAATTAGCTATATTTGTTAAATTAGTTAATTTCTTTCTTATGTTTCAAGAATTTAATTAGTATAATCTGTTTAAATTAGAAACTCCCAAGTCTAAAGTGATTAAATTAATATTTTTTAATAAATATGTTTTTAATATAAAATTTGAGGCTAAATGCATTTAAGAGTGTCCACATAAGATTATAAAACCGCATCTTATTGGTCCACATAAACATTTACATAATTATTTTTTTCCCAATTTTAAACAACCAATAGTATTAATCTATATCATCATCTCATTTTTTTCAAATTTTAAACAGCCAATAATATTAATCTATATCGTCATCTATAGTTAACTTCTTTTATGTTTCAAGAAAATTAATTAATAGGGTTTAAATTAGAAACTCCACAAGTCCAACGTAATTAAATTAAGATTTTTAAAAATATAATTTACTAAAATTTTAAAAATTATATAAAAACATTTGTATAACTAAAATATTAGTTATAAAGAATTAAATAAACCTTAAGGTGAACTATCTTTGACCAAACTTAAGTTTTTACAAATAAAGAGTAGGTTACACCATAATAACTGAAGAATTGTTCTAAGCAAACAAAGCCAACATTGCAAAAGAGTCGATCTCAACATTACATAATCTATGAATAAAAAAATGGAGATAGAAACAAAAATGCGTAATGTCGTATAGAAGACATATGAGTTCATTTGCAGTTTTTTAGGTGATGAGAGAGATCAAGCTTTGGGAGCTAAAACAAAAAATCAAGAAAACAATAGCATACTATATAATATTTAGTTCATCGTAGCTTCAAAAAAATGGTCGAAAAAGTAAATAGTTTGTTTGGATTACTATGGAGCAGAAGAATTCAAAAGATTTAATAGTGCAACCATACAACAAATTTTCGAGAAAGCATTCCACCCTACATCAACAAAATAAGAGTTCGTATTCGGGAGGATAATGGAGGTCAGACGGAGAGGGAAAGAAGAGGTTGATGTCTGGCATCCTTCACATCCTTTAAGAAGATTTCATCTCCATGTAAATAACGATTTTCAAATAAGAGAAAATCACGAACCTTCCAAAAATGGCAAAATATATAAGGATAAAAGAATATATAGGCAATAAACCTATTAGGGGTAGAATAATCAGTTTTTCTACATCTTCAAAGAGTTCTGAAAAAGTGTGAGTTTGCCATAAGTTTATTGAGAAGCAGGGCTTGATCCAAGACTCATACTGTAGAAAGACATATGAAGAAGATATGGAGACTGTTTCTTTGATGATCACAATGATTGCAGGAGGTGTATCAATTCCATGAGCAGCCAGAGTTTGATCGGTCAAGACAAAGCTTTTGCCATCAAATTCAAGAGGAAATATTTCATTTTTGGTGTAGTATAAACTTGCCAAATATGATTACTCGATTTGATTAGAAACATGATATGAGGTGAGTTAATAACCATTTTTGCAATTAAATAAACACTAACTGAATTTTGCAATTTCTAAACAAATATGTAACTAACAAATTTTTTGAACAAGAATGTATTTATAAACAGATTTAAGGCGGAAATATTCAAGTAAACATTAATATAAAACTACTTCTAAAAAGAAATGTATACCATAACGCATAAAAAATGACAAAATTACTAACAAAAAATCAACATTGAACAAACAATGATTTAAGATTTTCTTTAAGCCATAAAAAAAATATACATAATTTATATTATATAAAAGCTAAATATATACTATTATGATCAAAGTTTATAAACTAATAACACGATGTGTAAGTTAAATGTACTGAAAAATAAATTATATGTTGTTTATAGCATTTTAAGTTCTAACATAACGAATTGAAGTTATTTTAAATAAACATCGTGTTACATACAAATACTGTTGACATCTAATTTTAAGAATTTCACTATACATATTTAAAAATATATTTCTGTTTAGAAAATGATTAACACGTCACAATAGTTCATAAATTAACATTACATTTTACAATATATATATATATATACTAATAAAGTTTGTCCTATTATAATGATTTGAATATCTTCAAGTAAGTTTTGGTCATTAGACATACACAAACATTTTTGTTACCGGGATATGATCTAAACAATATTTTTGTATGTCAAGATTTGATCTCAACACGATATTATATATCTAAAAACTTTTGTTTTCAGAGAATTTTGGTATTGAAATATTATTAAATTTTAATTGTTGATTTTTGCAGTTTAAAAAAAATATTCTTTAAAATATATTTTAAACCGATTTAAGATACAGACCCGCGCGTGCGCGGGTGAAAGTCCTAGTGTAATATATATAATATATATATATATATATATGCATACCAAAATCCCATCTCTTTGCATGTGATTTCCTTGGTCCTTGGTTAGTTTAATAATAGATAATAACAAAATGAGCAGGTGGGATCTTGGGGCCATTGAAGAACTACCAAGCTATATGAGAATCATGTTCCGGATTGTGTTAGAAACTGTGGAAGAAATTGATAAAGAAATGATGGCTCGAGGAAAATCCGATACTATGCAACCGACTATAGATGAGGTACGTAATCGATAATAACAATTAGTATTTGTTAATTTAAGTTAACTATAGATGAAGTTAAGCTGTAGATGGAATGGAAAATTATTTTAATCTAATGAAGTATCTAACAATTTATATTGCAGAGTAAATCTTTGGTGATATCGTATCTAGCTATATCAAAATGGGCACGCGCAGGTCACGTGCCAAGCTTCGATGAGTACATGGAGGTTGGGCTAGTCACAGCCGGAATGGATGACTTGGCAGCCTACGGCTACATAGCCATGGACGATTGTGATGAGAAGCAATTGAAAGAGTGGTTCTACTCCAAACCCAAAATCTTCCAAGCTCTGAGTGCTTATTTTCGTCTAATAAATGACATAGTCTCCTTCGAAGTACGTACGTGGATATGCAGTTTTATAACACGTATAATATATACGTGCATGGGCCACTTATATTTGATCGATACACATGAGCAGGTTGAGATGAGCAGAGGAGAGGTGGCGAATGGTGTAAATTGTTACATGCAACAACACGGTGTTACCCAAAAGGAAGCCGTAGAAAAGATGAGCAAGATGGCCCAGGAGAGTTATAAGATAATGATGGATGAGTTCATGATGTCGGCCACTACGATGCCACGTCGACAGATTGTGGTGCGAGTCATTAACATTGCACGTGTCATCGCTGTGTATTACAGGGAGGGTGATGGATTCAAATATCCCCATGGGAAGCTCAAAGACCGTCTTACCGCTTTGTTCCTCCAGCCAATACCTCTTTAAGACAACCTCTATCAACAAATAACCAATCTATCTTCTTTGGATGCATTTTTAAAAATGTAATCGACTTTTTAGTAGTACTTTCGAAACAATAAAGCGATTTAAAGAAAGTAACGATATGCGTGGTTCCTTAAACTAATTATATTCACACTTAGATAACATAACCATACTTTGTTTTTTTCTCTATTATCTACTCACCTTAAACTAATTATCTACACTTATGTATACCTTTAAATCGTCAGTTCCTTGAACAGATGGACTGAACATAAAACTTATAGCTACTGTCCACAGATTCATTTAGGACTGGGATTTTAGAGGTGAGTGTTTATTGCAAATATTTATTGAAATATAATAAATACAGAACAAACAAAATGTAAACGGAAAAAAAGCTTCCTTATTAGCTATTACACATACCAACTGCATGATAATAGCTATAGTTCTTGGAATTCAGTGGATATCTCAAATTTCTGAACTTGGAATCTGCATTTTTTAAGCCAAAGGAACGGTTCGAGGAAGATGAGTGCATCTCAGTGGATGAGCCATGGTCAAGGTCATTCCTGAAACAGTCTCTTCCATGTTAACAACTTTATCTCCTTTTAATCTCCAGTCAAAGCACTGCACCATCATTCCAACAGCGGTTTCGACAAAGATATATCCAAGATTTAATCCAGGACAGATTCTCCTTCCACCACCAAAAGGAAGATACTTTATGGATTCTTGATCTGATCTTGAAGAAGCTAGAAACCTCTCTGGTTTAAAGTCATTGGGATCTTTCCAGATATCCGGATCTCTCATCACAGCGTAAACATTCTTAGCAAGTGTTGTCTTCTCTGGTATGCAGAAACCGCCAACCTTACATCCTTGTTCGAACATCCTTACCACAACAGGCGCTGGTGGGTGCAGTCTTAGTGTTTCCTTAACCACCGCTTGCAAATATGGAAGTCTCGGTAGATCCGCTTCTTGAATCAACCTTGTTTTCTCTACCACTGAATCAATTTCTTGTCTCAGTCTCTCAAGAACACTTGGTTTGTTGATAATCTCAGCCATTGCCCACTGCGTTACCTGCCCCGCGCTGTCAGTGCCTCCAAGGAAAAGCTCCTGAAATTGCAAACCCAGCGTTTCTTGATCAGGAAAACGTGAGCATGAACATGATTTATATATTCTTTCAGGACACTTACTACAAACAACAACTTGATGTGGTTCTTGGTGATCTTATACTCTGCGTTTTCATCTCGAGAAGCTGCCAACAACACGTCCATCATGTCCATAACTTGATGTTTCTCCGGTTTCTTCTCTTCGTGCTCCCGGAGATTCTTCTCTAGCAGGTCATCGAATCCGTGAGAGACCCTCCTAATCTCTTTTCCGAAGAGTGAGATGCCAAGCTTCTTAAGCGGCTTACCTAACGTGTTTGACAAGACAACCTTTCTTATCAAGCCCATTGTCTTCTTCACCGAATCCCTGACTCTTCCCGCCTCACCCTTCTCCTCTGAAAAGGTCCTCCCCATGAGAATCCTGCACACGTTGTTGTTAGTGAGTTTCATTGCTTCCTTGCCGATCTCAACACTCTCTTTCTTTCTCGCCTTGTCGAGCAGGTCTCCGTAAAACCGCTCTAGCTCATCAGCACGGATCGCTCGTGACCGCTCCAGGGCTTGTGTGCCAAATAGATTCATCACCAGGAGCTTCTTCATGAATTTGTAGTAATCTCCGTAGGGAGCGCCTGTGAAAGTTTCAGGTCCGAACAAGAGAGAATCCTCCATTATACGGACACCATGTGTCGAGACGTTCACGTCGTGCGTTGTAAAGATCTCGTAAGCTACCGAGGCCGAGGAGACGAGGACAATGGGGACGTTGAAGATGCGTAGGTAGAGGAGAGGTCCGTATTTAGATGAGATCTTCTGAAATGCCCTGTGGGGTCGAACAGAGAGTAGAAGGTGAAGATGGCCAATTATGGGCAGAGACGGAGGACTTGAAGGAAAATGAGAGCCATCTTTTGGTTTCTTGAAGAAGAGAGAGTAACAGAGGAGCGAGAAGAAGCATAGGAGGATCAAGATGAAATATTTTTGAAAGTCAACGTTAAGTATTGCTGCCATTGTTGCTCAAAGAGAAGAGGGTTCGATGCCAGCCCTTCTTTTTTAGCAAGTTTAGATGCTGATCATATAAAATATAATTAACTTAGAGTTCGGATTTGTAAACTCTGCGGAGTTTACAGACACCCTCATGTGCAATGCAAATAATCTTTAAATGAAGATTCGAGTTTTTCAGAGCTACTGGCCTACTGTGATTATTAATTTATATATTGTATTGTACTCTTATTAAAAACGTGTTAGCCTCTCCACCAACTTCTAGATCTATATAAAAAAGAGTACGTATATGGAAACAGAGTAGATCTTAATCTCTCACTAAACATGGAAGCAGCAAGAATGGGTTTTGGTCCTAAAACTCTCTCTTCACCTTAAGAATGTCCCTCTCCTTCTCAAAACCAGCTTCCCTATCTTTCCTCTCCGTTTGCTTCATCAAAACTACCATACTCTTTCTCTGAAAATCCTCAAAACATGTTTCCTTCTTTGTAAAAGCTACTACTGAGAATCTTGAGAGCAGTCGTCCTTTGACGCATTTTTCTCCATCTTCTAATTCCTCTCTGTTCCCCTCGACGACTTTGTATGTACACTTGACCATTCTTGTTCCATATCAACATGTTTTTTTTTGTTATTGAGATAATGAGATGTATCATATATTTTTGTAGGAATTTGGTATACTTGAGCGTGGGATTTGAATCGGCGATGAAGCCAAAAGTAAGAGACAAGGAGAGCATTCCGTTGATCTATATGCTGCTTATCAGCTTCGGTGTTTCGCATTATTTTGATATGGAAGAGCTTCTAAACAAGGCTTTCCAGGACAGCTTGGACACAGTCGCAGTCATGTTTGAAGTTTTCAGACTACGGACACAACATGTCTTGCGGTATAGTTAACACCTTAAGAGGATTATATTGGGTTCCCTGAGTAGCTTTATAAGCGTATTTTTATATATTTGGTAATATCGAATTTGTGCAGATGTGTTCAAGAGATACAAAGGTGAAGATGTGAAGTTAAAGCAGAGTCTGGCAAAAGGCGTTAGAGGGAGATGTGTACATCTCTTTCTACGAACAAGAAGAAGATCACAACAAGATGCTACTCAAGTTTGCCAAGCTTAACTTCAAATTTTGTCATATCCATCAAGTCAAAGAGCTTAAGATTTGCACCAAGTAGGTGGCGAATGGTGTCAACTGTTACATGAAACAATATGCCGTTACCAAAGAAGCAGTGATTGAAGAATTGAGGAAGATGGAAAGAGAGAATTATAAGATAATGATGGTGTGAAGGTGAGAAACTTGATGTGCAAGTTTTTACAAGTCCAAACAAGTGTTAAAACAAAGAGCTTTGAAAACCCAATCAAGATGTATCCACTTGGAGTCAAGACAGTTCATCTCTTTTTACGAACAAGAAGAAGATCACAAGACGCTTCTCAAGTTTGCCAAGCTTAACTTCAAATTTTGGCATATGCATTATTACGTCGAAGAGCTTAAAAATTGTCACTAAGTAATTACGTTTTCCCTTATAATTTGGTGTGTATATATTAGCTTAGAAGATGAAAGCTGTGCCGTTATGATGGAGGAGTTTCATGACGTCGAAAGCTGTGCCAAAAAGATGAAAGACCTTCTTGCTTCTTTGTTCCTCCATCCATTTCCACTTTAAAGCCTTGTAAAAGCTGGAAACAAAATTTCCTACACGTGATTTTGATCCTGATGAGTCATGAGCAGTGAAGTTGAAATTTATAATATTCTTTAGCTTTCGCTTTACAACTTCAGACATTTTTCCCCGAACCCCTTGTGTGTCGAAAGCCTAATCAAGATAAAATCCGTTTCTTGTTCTGTAAGTTTCTCAAATGATAACCCTTTTTTTTTTCATTTAAATCCTTGTGAAATGTTAACATAAGGATTATGATGATGGGAACTGAAACTTGAAGGAATATTAGCTTCCAGGTTGACTTAAACAAGAAACTTATAGGGCAAGATATATAAGCATGAGAGTCTGAATACTGAAAAGCAAGCTTCCTAAATTATTATCCATGCCAATAGCTATAGGTCTTGCGATTCAGTGATACCTTAAAGTTGCGAGCTTGGAATCTGCATTCGTGAAGTCAAAGGAACGGCTCGAGGAAGATGAGTGCATTTCAATGGATGAGCCATGTCACTCCTGCAATCATGTCTTCCATGTTAACAACTTCATCTCCTTTGTTTCTCCAGTCGAAGCACTGCACCATCATTCCAACCGCGGTTCTGACAAAGAGAGATCCAAGATTTAATCCAGGAGATACTCTCCTCCCGCTGCCAAAAGGAAGATACTTTAGGGTTTGCTCTCTCTCTTCTTCTTGATCTGATCTTGACGAAGCAAGAAACCTCTCTGGTTTAAACTCATCGGGATCTTCCCAGATATTCGGATCTCTCATCAGAGTGTATACATTTACAACAAGCGTTGTCTTCTCCGGTATGCGAAAACCTCCAACCTTACATTCTTGTTCGAACATCCTTACCAAAACAGGCACTGCTGGACGCAATCTTAGGGTTTCCTTAACCACCGCCTGCAAATAAGGAAGTCTCGGTAGATCCGCTTCTTGAATCAACCTTGTTTTCTCTACCACCGAATCAATCTCTTGTCTCAGTCTCTCAAGAATACTTGGTTGCTGATGATCTCAGCCATTGCCCACTGCACTTCATGCGCAGCACTGTCAGTGCCTCCCATTAAAAGCTCCTGAAATTGCAGACGCAGCGTTTCTTGATCAGGACAAGTGAGCTGTGAGCATGAACATGATGCTTTTTAGGGTTTAGCACACTTACCACTAACAGCGTGGTTCTTGGTGATCTTATACTCTGCGTTTTCATCTCGAGAAACCGCCAACAACACGTCCATCCAGGCCCGGCCCAAGAATTGAATAGACCCTATGCAAAATTAGAAAATAATTGGTCAATGTATGAGCATTTCAGAATTGTGGACCTTTTCTACAATATTTTCAGACTTTAGGACCCTAAAATTTAAAAGAATTTTTGTAAAAAAACGTGGGACAAGTGCATTTGCACTGTCAGCCCATGCTTAGGGCCGGGCCTGCATCCATCATGTCCTTAACTTGATGTTTCTCCGGTTTCTTCTCTTCGTGTTCACGGAGCATCCTCTCTAGAAGCTCATCAAATCCGTGGGAGACCTTCCTAATCTCTTTTCCGAAGAGAGAGATGCCAAGCTTACCTAACGTGTTTGACAAGACAACCTTCCCTAGCAAACCCATTGTTTTCTTCACCGACTCTCTGATATTCCCTGCCTCACCCTTCTCCTCAGAGAAACTCCTCCCCATGAGCATCTTGCAGATACTGTTGTTAGTGAGTTTCATTACTTCCTTACCGATCTCAACAATCTCTTTCTTTCTCGCCTTGTCGAGCAAGTCTCCGTAAAACCGCTCTAGCTCATCAGCACGGATCGCTCGTGACCGGTCCAGGGCCTGCGGGCCAAATAGATTCATCACCAGGAGTTTCTTCATGAACTTGTAGTAATCTCCGTAGGGAGCACCTGCGAATGATTTAGGTCCGAACAAGAGAGAACCCTCTATCGCACGGAAACCATGAGTTGAGACATTCACGTCGTGCGTCCTAAAGATCTCGCAAGCTACCGAGGCCGAGGAGACGAGGAAAATTGGGACTTTGAAGATAAGGAGGTAGAGGAGAGGTCCGTATTTGGATGAGATCTTCTGAAAAAACTTGTGGGGTAGAACAGAGTAATAGGTGAAGATGGCCAATGATGGGCAGAGAGGGAGGGCTTGGAGGATAATCAGAGCCATCTATTGGTTTCTTGAAGTAGAGAGTAACAGAGGAGCGAGAAGAAGCTTAGGACAATCAAGATGAAACAGTTTTGAAACTCAATGGTGAGTATTGCTGCCATTATTGCTCAAAGCCAAGAGGAAGATGAATTAGAGGAATCTCTGATTATCTCTAATTTAAAAGACAAGAAGAAAAAACAAAAGTGTCATTATTGGAAAACAGAGGTCCCTAGTAGCGACACACACAGTGTAACCTATTCAGTAATTCAGTATCTCATATAAGATGGAAGAGTTCTTTCCATCTAGCCTATCATCAGAAAAAAATACATTAATTTGTATCTTAGATATATATTTTTTTTATAGATGTTTAAATTAAAAACATAAAACTAATTAAGTTGAAATTCTAGTTATCAAAAAAAAAAAAAAAAAAAAAACTTTTAGAGTACTATTTTTAGCTCATTCATACTTTATGCAATGAAACATCGTTAAGTTAAAACAAAATAAACCTTCAAAAGATTGAGAGGTTGAGAAGAAATAGACAAAATGGTAGGCTAGATGGAGATTGACGCATCAAAAGAAAAAAGGAGCACGCCATGTGCGACCCACACGTATCTCAAATTCCCACTAGATTCTCCTATCTCTCTAAATCCCATTTTCATCACGAAATCAAAATTTCCCCAAGAATATACAAAACAATTCGAGTCACACTCTCATACACACACATATCTACGGGTTTATATACATAAATTTCAACAGATTCCGTGTCGATCGTTTTTTCAGTTGCGATTGTTACCTATCTTCGTGTAAAGACTATACACCCTAGTTTTATACGCAATCAGCCGCAAAGCGCGGTCAAGAGGGCCATTACTGTAGATTTTTACCATATTATTAGTGGTTATGAGGGCCACGCGGCGGATACTAACGAGAATATTAAATCTGTCCGGGAAAATATATCCGACAACGGAGACCTGCAACAGATCTACAATCATTTAGACAATGGTTTGAAGATGGTAAAGAAAGAGAAAATAGTGAAAGAGTGATAACTCACCGGCAGTGAGAGGAAGAGAATAAGGTCGCACGATTCCACAGCGGCAACCATGGACAGCGGCAATGACGGCGGCGGAAAGGTTCAAAAGAAAGAAACGGAGTGAGTATAACGGGAATAAAGGGAAAGAGACATGTATGAAGATGGATTGATGAATAGAACTTACCAAAGTATACTTCAGAGGAGGAAGGCAAAACGGCGACGGCGATGGTAGCTCTGTCTGTTGTCTTTGACGGCGATGGTGGGTAGAGAACATGTCGTCGTCTATCCGAGAAAGAGAGAGAACGGAACGGACCGGCGGGATGTGAAAGTAAAAGTGAAATGTGAAAATGAAACCCTAATTTTGGGTTTGTAAAATCGGGAAATTTTTTTATTAAGTGTGAAGTCTATTTACTTACTGGTTACAACTTCCGATTATGGCCGGTTAAATTTGGTTAAACCCAATTCGCAATCGGTTGAGTTTAAAAATCAGATTTCTAATAAAGTCTACACACAAATTCTACTCGGGAAATCTAACAAAACAAAAAATTGGAACTATTAATGAGAAATTTGTTAAGGTATATTCCGGTTCCCACCCAAAATATTTCGTTTTCGCTCACATTCTTTTAGTTACAAACTTCGCGTCGAAGTCTACCACTGAAGTCTGACTAACGTTAAACCCTAAATCAAATATTTAATATTTAAGATCAAAACTATAGGAAACATTAATTATGTATACATAATCACAATTTTCATCATAAACTATGAATTCATGAGCTTTAAATCGTTAGACGAACCACAAACATTTTTTATGTCATAATCCTCTAAACCCTAATAAACCCCATATATTATACCTCAAACACTAAGTTTGGTGATTGATTTACTCATGAAAGTTATAAATTGATTCATATTCATGAAATTTTATTTTACATAGATAGGATTTGTCTTTATTTAAATTATGTATACTTTTTTTATCAAATTTTTTTTTTTATAGATTTTAACCTTTAAATTTAAGATTTTGTTATTTAGCACACTTTTTCACTAGATCGACTTCACACAGTTTTTTTTTTTTGTTTGAACATAATTTGTCTTAGTTGATTCAAATTGATCAATTTATGTGCAAATTTATTTTTAATTGATAGTACTTGTCTGTGTTAATATTATGTGTTACTAGTTTTGTCAAAACAAATTAAACTTAATATTTAAGATTTACTGTATATTAGAATTCTTGAGTAGACTTCACGTAGTTTATAGGTTACAAATATAATTTATCTCAGTTGACTTAAATGGATTCATTTTTATGCAATTTTATTTTTCATAGATGCCAAATGTTTACATCTTATACGTATCATTTTATTTATCAAAAAAAAATTGTTATAATATTATCATTTAAATTTTAGTTGTGATTAGGAAGTAAAATTCATAAGTAAACTTTATACAGAGAGTAAAACAGTCATTATGGCTAGCGCTTTTCTTTATTTAGAAGGGTGAGGTTTGTAATTTGTAGTTTTGACATAAGTGTAATAAAAGATTTAATTTTGCAATCTAAATCAAATTGTAGACTATATTGGGTCATTCCCCCTTTTATTAATCCAACAACTCTTATAAAAACTCTATAATATTGCCAAAACGATAGTATTGCCCAACTGTTGTCTATAGCTTTCTAATTTTACTTGATCTTATTAAAATAAATTAATTGTTTGGTTACTTATTTTTATAGTGTCTTGAAACCTAAACAATATATTATGTATATGCAGGTCAGTCCACTTATTTTCTTTTGATGTGTCTTCTATGTGTGAAATATATACTATATTTTCTTAATTTGTTACATATTTTATTTAAAATAGAATTTTTCATTTTTTCCCTTTAATATATTAGTATAATTATCTTTAGTATCTATCAAAAGAAAAATGTGCCAGGAAAATATTTAAAACATAAGGAATATTTTTTTTTTGCTAAACCAGGTCTAAATAACGCTAAATTTTAGTAAAATATTATATAAGAAAATTTAATTATGTTTTTATAAAATAATATTTCTTTTATCTTTATTTTTTATTTGGTCGTAATTTTTTTTTTGATATTATATTATTTTTTGGTAAATTATTTTATTAAAATTAAGAATTCTTTTTTAAAATATACTCTAGACTAAATAATTTTCTTGATCCACCACCTGATCTCGTACTATGTTTGTTTTCTTCTTCCCAATGTAAACATATTCATTATAGATATCAAACGTAAATGACATAACGTCTGGAGCTGTGGCGACTGCCTCTTTCACCGTCGTAAAATTTCATGTACCATCTTTACGCTGGCCTTCGTTTTGAGCGTCTCTAAAAATGTAATCAGAAAAAAAGAGAAAAAATAAGCAAGGAAAAACATTTACACTCGACAAACATCAGTTACTTGGTTTTGAACTCTAGATTTTTAGGTTATGTTAAATAAATGTTATTTACTAATTCTTACTATATTTGGTCCCACCGGGGTTCCCTTCGAGGAAGGACTCGGAAGGGCTTCGATGAGCATAAACATAAACAGTCTACGATATGTTAAATAAATGTTATTTACAATTTCTATTTTAAAGAGTCTTTTTTTTGTTAAGATAGTTATTGCCTCGATTAATCAATTTCGTATACCATAAAAGCCTTGGAGTTCTCCAGCAGAATCTTTAATTTCTAACTGTAGTTCTACATCAGTTACTTGGTCACATGATTTTCAATAAACAGGGTTTAAGCAATTCGGACCTTAACTTCGAGATAATACAGCCCATAAACTCATATTTGTCATTTTCATATCCGAAAAAATTAAGTATTAGATTTTTTTCATCCCCATGGCCCTTATTGGTTCATAGTTTTTCGTTGGTAAAACTTAAAATATATTTATTGTGGTAATTCTAACAATTATGAACTACATTTACGATTTTCAAAATTAAATACTTTAAAGCAGTTTATATAGGTTGAATTCTCTGAAATGTTGATGCGGCAATGACTTTGCTACATAGTTTAAGTTTGAAAAAGAAATTGTCAACAAATTATTTCACAAAAATAAGCATAATATAAGTAAATTATAAGCAAAATATATGTGAACCATAAGCAAAACATAACAAAAAATAACAATATTATGATGTTAGCTTCACAGGTTGAGTTGAGCCACCGAGCGATGAGTAATCCATGAGATTAGGAATTGCTTCTCGGATTCGCAAACACATATGTTAAATAAAAGTTTATCTACATTGTGTAATCATACTCAATAAATTCTCTGTGATGTTACGACTTATCTTGTTAAATTGTTATAGTAGCTTGTTATTTTACTTTGCATTATTTCTAGATAAGTGCAGCAAAAGATACGTGACCAAAAAACATTTGTAATTCTAGTTTTAAAAAAACTATAA